GCTTGCATGGTGCTAACTGAATTGTCCTCTGCATCCATCAGTTCCTCAAGGTGGCCAGTGAGGATCTGGCTTGTTTACTCCAGTCAACCAATTCACAGCAGCAATTACTATTGGCAAGGTACTTCACTGGCCGCTATTGTTCACCCCTGGATTGTTTGCCTTGCTTATTCAGTTTTTCAACTATATAATCCAGCAATTATATTCAGCAACAGTGTCTAGAGCAAGGCTGATATCTTCTCTTGCCCAGTTTATATTAGGGCAGTCTTCATTTTCGTTATCTAAGTCTGGTGATTTAGAAACTGACTTCAAATATTAAATTAAGCCCCTAGTACAAATATTACTCCTGAGACACAATGCCAACCGCTCTGCTGCCACCCTGTCCATATCCTTCCTACTAATATAACATATAATTTCTTTTTGTTTATATGTTTTCTTTCCTAGCACAGAATTTGGTAGTGCACTGGTTAAAAGTGAGATGAATTAGCTCTGGAGGGAAATGCATTATGTCTGAAGACAGGACAGTGAATATAAATGGGGAGAAACCTCACATTCTTCCACTATACTATTTTGGCCTGAAATCATATGGATTGTTGTGTGAGTATAAATAAATTGAATCCAAAGCAGCATCAGTTTATGGCCTTGTGAATGTATGACTTTCTTCAGGAAAAATACATGGCAAAATGAAAGAGTATGAAATATGGATTAGATGGCCTTAAAGGCTCTTTCTTCCCCAAGGATTTACCTGCATACCTTTATTTATATTCTGATGTAACAGACATCTGGGGGAGGATCATCTGATTATTGGAGAGAGGGGGTTAAATCAATTTGAGAATTTAATGCTCATTCAGATTTAAATAGAAATCTGTGAGTTTAATGGCTTTTTATTTTGTATGCTACAGTAAACCAATGCAGTTATGTTATCGCTTCATTTTTGCCCATATTGCTTTTCATTCATAATACCCTTAGGGGAGCTCCTACTGCCCAACATACCATTCAGAGTCCTAGAAATGTGATTTATTTGCTAAGATCTACTGTGATTTATTTACTTTTTTAAGCATAAGAGCATACTCCTAGTGCCTTAGCTAATAAAACCACTTCAAAATGAAATAAGAAAAAAAATAGTCTCAGTAAAGTGTAGTCTGTTCAAAATTACAGAACTATGACAACCATTCTGAACAGTTAATTACCAGTTACTTTGAAGAATGAAATATTTAATATTATATTGCGCTCCAAAAGTCTAAACATGCTTACTTAGAGACAAGTTTGATTAATTTGAATGGAATTGATTTGAATGTTGAGGATTTCAAACACAGAGGAATTTGGATCAGGTATGAAATAATTCCATTGCATTCTGCACTGACCTTTGTTACCTCAGTGTTCATGCTAGAAATTAAAACAAAACAATGCCGTTTATCCTTCCCGCCTCATAGGAATTCCTCATCTTCTGTTCTTATAGGTATGAATTCTTCAACCCCTATTTGACCCATGTAAATTCTTCTTCTTCTTTTTACTGCTCCTTTCTCCTTTTATGTTATATCTTTATTCTTACAGCTACAGGCTGTCAAATCCATGTTCAGCTTTGCCTTGAAGCAAGATGCCCTGACACAACCTTGAAGGTGAGAGGCAAGTCGCCGAAGTTATAAAAGTAGCACAAATAAGTGGCGAGAGGTAGGTGACGGAAATGAAGGCTTGATTGATAGCTAGGCAGTGGGAGAATCCAATTGCTAGGAAGTGAGGAGAATCCAAGCTCATTAGGAAAGTAGGAAGACGCTTGTAGACAAGCAGATTTTATTAACTGGAACCTCATACATTATGTATACTGTGCTTATTAATACTACAGTGGCTGTTATCAAAGAGCTACCAGGCAGACCTTCATGGTCTCTTCTCTACCTTCTTGGGTGAAAGGATATTTACAATATCACAGGCAATCTCTGTTCACGACACCATACAGATATTGAGTTATATAATAGATATGTTATGGTGAAAGTCAGAATGGTTTGGAGTACCAAAAGTTATGTGCGAGTGTTGACAATTGCTGGAAAATTTGGGGAATATCAGAATATGTGCACGTAGACCGATAAATGTTTACCATTGTCAAAAAGTGATTTTTCAGCACCCAGTTACAGAAGAGCGGAAAGGTAGGATGTTAGGTAGGTAAGATTGAGTATATTAGCATGAATGCTGATGTGTGTAGAAGGTTAGGTGTATTGAAACCATCTCCAGCATCTGTTGTATGCTGGGAATGCCACCTCTACTCAGCCTTCATGTGTCAAGCATGAAGATCTACATGGGGCTTCTAACCACATAAAGCTGATTTCTGGTAGCCAAGGGTTCTTATTCACCTGGAGGCTTCCCATTTCCTTCCCTCATGTGATTATCATTGCATGGTTATGAACACCTGAAGAGGGCTTTGACTTCAACTCAGGATCTTTGGGATTCAACTTTACATTTTGTGCTTTCCCCATTGCACCATCTCTATGCACAACCCAAGGAACAGATCATAGATAGGTGCGTGATAGTGAATCAGACCATTGCTCCATCTAAGCTCAATATACTGTCTATGATGGCAGACAGTAGCTCTGCAGGTTTTCAGACGGTAGGGTTTCCATCCACCACAGAATATGCAGGATATGCTAGGGTTGGAACCAAGGCCAGATTTAGGTTTGATGAGGCCCTAAGTTACTGAAGATAATGGGGCCCTTTATATGCCCAGCTGTCCTTTGTCAAAAATAAATGTCGCTTTTTGTGTGTTGAATATATGCTATATAGTAATTTATTGACCTAATAGGTATCTAATGCCATTTGCAGATAACAAAATATGTATTTTATCAAAGTAATTGTTGAACTGAAATACAATTAAGAAGAAGTATATTAATAGTGAAATACAATTAAGAAGAGGTATATTGGGGGGGGGCAAGAGAGTGGGGGTCTAAGCTATAGCTTGTTTACCTTATATGTAAATCCGGCACTGGATGGAACCTGAAACCTTTGGAATGAAAAAATGAGCTATTCCATGTAGCTCCAGCACTTCCCTACCAACCATTCCACTTGGCCTCAGGGCTGCTGTGGCAAAAGCAATGCTCATCCATAATAAGTAAAAACAAACAAAACAGTTTCTGAAGGAATAACTAAAGAAATAAAAGAAATCACAAAGACAAGATACTGAAAGAAAATGTGTACAGTATACTTTTTTAAAAAAAGTATTTTGAGATTTCTGCAGCATGTTTGTATAGCCAGGGCCTCAGCTACTGTAAAGCTATGTACTTTTAAGTGGCTTTGAGGGAAAGAGACTGAGGCACAGATCAATTGAAGACTTACTCTTGGATGTAATTCCAAATAAGATATGAGAGAGATATGGGAAATACTCATCTCACCACCAGTCTGTCTCTACAAACCAGTTTTTATTCATATGTAATATCTGCAGTGAATCTACGAGTAATCCTCTTGGCTTTAAAAAATTCATTCAGAATGGACACATGGCTCCCAGAAACCCAAGTCATTTTAAAAATAAATGATAGGCTCTTCTCCAAACCCTTATAATTGTCACTCCAGCAAGACAGGGCAGCATTTGGTAAAAGCTATAAAGCAAGTCTAAGGTAAATAAAACTTAGCAAGTGTTTCACAAGGTGAACTGGTTTTTATTTTAGTGGGATACAAGAACAGTTCCTTCCTTTTTGATGGAACTTTAAATCATAACTTGGATATAATCTGACACAAAATGAAATAAAAAGTACATAAAGAAACTTTTTATCTAGTGATTCTTCTGGGGGAAATGAAGTATTTGGTTCTTGCTATGCCCTGTGAAGACATCAGTAGGAGGCAACAGTGTTTCCAAATTTTAGAATTACGTGCAGAAAACCAAGCTATTTTTTAATTATTATTTTTATGCAAATTCTGAATTGAACCAAGGAGAGTTTGCCCATTACTAGAATGCCACTTTTGGTTTGGAAATGTTTAATATACATGGTATGCCAGTATTTTGATGTGGATTGATACTCCAGTCCAGTAATCGGTTTTGGGTGAAGGAACTTCAGTGTTCATACAGAGTTCCCCAGCCTATTAACAGCTTCCCCATTCACTGAAACTAAAGAGCTGGCTTATGTTCTCCTTCCTCTGAAATGAATATGAACCTCAATTCATGAGCCACTAAGCCAAGATGGATATCTGGGTAGGTCTATCAGGATTCAGTCAAAATGTCAATTCCATTTTCCTGTACATATTAGCCAGTATCTGTGAGTTCTTTGTGATTCTTCCTCCTCTTCCATTTCCAAAGACAACAATACTATTGTGAACATCATGGCTTTTTAGGGAACCAAAGCCTATTTTAAAAATAATGGAGTACTTCATCACTCTTATGTGTCTCTGCTTGCACTTAGCAACTTCTGAGTCGCGTCACTTGGGGCACACTTGCAATCCAAATACCAGTTAGTGAAGCAGAAGTTGATGCAGTTATATCTGAAAGGCTGGCCTGAGAAATTTAAATAGCTCTTTATATTCCAGGTTCATAATATTATGCAGTTTTATGCTCAGTATATTTAAGCACTGAAACCTAAGACATAAGGCATATCTGAAAAATTAACAACATCCTGTAAGGTAATGATCACTGGCAAGGGCTATTAAACTCTAAAATGATCTGTGTGGATATTATTATGGTTAAAATGTTTGAGGATTATTGCATTTCTCCTTACAATTACATTTGGAATAGCATTAGTAGGATTGTTTTAGAAGCCTTCTACTCTCATTCGAGAGAACTCATTCAGAGGCGGCTGGCAGTGTGTACACTGCTTTACATAATATCCTGCCTTGCAAAACACATGGTCAGCACTGTCAGCTTTGATCATTTGCTGTGGAAGGTATGTTGCATATATGGCAACATGTCACAGCAAGTTTTCACAGTATTGCTAATACAATATTATACAGTAAAACCACACAACAACCAGACTGGTTGCTGGTTGCTGGTTGCTGGTTGTTGTTGTTGTTGTTGTTGTTGTTGTTGTTGTTGTTGTTGTTATTACTGGTTGCTGGTGACCACCATGTGGAAAAAACACAAGGCCATTTGAAGGAAATCTAGGGTTGTAGAAACTAGAGGGTGATGCAGAGGTTCTCTGAACTGGTTTGGGCCTCATATGGTCTAGGAGTTCCCTACTGATAGGCAATGCATGTAGGTTAGGAAGACTCATGCAGGTACTATACACTGATGGAAGAATCTATACCACCCTTAAGTTCTCAAACTACTGAGAGCAAAATGCTCCTGGTTCAATTCTGAATGGGCCCAGTTGAAATGAAGTATTTGAAAGAATATTCATTAGTTTTCCAAAAAACTAATCTTGCAATCTCTCTCTGCTATGGAATTGTGCAATACTAGGATCAAATAACTTGAAGGGATTCCATGGATCATTCGTGGCATATGACTCTTACAATCATCTCACTAAGACAAGATGAAGTCTATGGTTACAGTGCACAGAGTAGACCTAGTGATTTTATCAGCTTTCAGCATGCTTACCTCTGCAAAACCAGCGTAGTGTGTGCAGGGTGTGTGTGTGTGCAGTGATGCTATTGAAAGTGTAACTCCTCCTCTGAAATGTCTCCTTTTGCCATTTTTGGCTCTTTTGGTATTATTTGCCTGTTGTGGAGCATCTAAAATGACTGAGCTCAGAAAATAGTGAAGGCATATCTCAGCTTTAGAACAGCTGGTGTTCAAGGGCAAGTAGACTTTAGGTTGTATCCACTAGGGAACGAAGAAAGGAGGGACAATAGGCTTTATCGTAAGAATGGGATGAATGACAAGCTTTATGTAAGAATCCTTGGAATGAGTTGAGCAACCAGGGGAAAATAAATGCTTGAGACAAAAAATGATCAATAAGGTCAAACACTGGATAACCTTGTGCTTTTGCATATCAATTCTCTGCTTATCCTTCCCATCTCTTAGCATCTCTCTTCTTAAACTGCTTCTCTCTTATTTTGCTTTCACAGGCTTGCAGAGAAAGGTGGCACACTGTGAATAAAGGCAGAAGGAATGTGCTCGCAGGGCTAAACTGTCATGATGCATAATCAGGCAATTAAGATATTAAGAGAAAGTAAGCAGTCACAGTCCTGATCTCCTGATCTCCTGATCATTGCTCTTCAGGCTGTGATGCTGAGTACAGGGAGGAAAAATGAGCTCATCTTTCCCCTTATGTGAAAAATTGTTTGGAGAGAGGTGGTGGTGGTGATGGAGTTCTGGTCTGCAAGTTAATCTTACTTCCTGGAGATGTTGTTCAGCTGAAAAAGAAGAACAAGGAATGAAGCACCACAAAGAGTTTATTTCACGAGTCTATCCCACTGTTGAGAGCTGAAGTACAGTGGTGCCCCGCAAGACGAATGCCTCGCAAGACGGAAAACCCGCTAGACGAAAGGGTTTTCCGTTTTTGAGTTGCTTCGCAAGACGAATTTCCCTATGGGCTTGCTTTGCAAGACGAAACGTCTTGCTAGTCTTGCGATTTCCCCCCCGCTCCCCCCCTTTTTCTAAGCCGCTAATAGCCTTTTAGCAGCTAAGCCGCTAAGCCTTTAATAGCCGCTAAGCCGCTAATAGCGCTAATCCGCTAAGCCGCTAATAGGGTTGCTTCGCAAGACGAAAAAACCACTAGACGAAGAGAATCGCGGAACGGATTCTTTTCGTCTTGCGAGGCACCACTATACAGAGTAAACATTGGCTGCTACTAACAAATAATTTACTAGTGTTAGATGGTGTATCTGGCCCAGACTTTGTTGCTAGTTCTCCGGGGTGGGGTGGGGGGATGGACCCCTGATGATTGGTGTAATCTTAATGGGCTTGCCAGTACTGTACACATGTGGGAGAGGGATAGTTCTAACAAGGTGACTGAGGGTTTTTTTTCTCCCTCCCATAATTAAAAACCACTTTTGCTGCTGCTTCAGGCAGTGACAGATCAGTGTTATATCTTCATTTTGATTAGAACACACCAATGCTGTTTTTTATTTTAGTAAAGGTAAAGGACCGCCTGGACAGTTAAGTCCAGTCAAAGGTGACTATAGGGTTGTGCCGCTCATCTCGCTTTTCGGGCCAAGGGAACTGGCGTTTGTCCGGGTCATGTGGCCAGCATGACTAAACCGCTACTGGTGCAACAGAACACTGTGACAGAAACCAGAGCGCATGGAAACACCGTTTATCTTCCCATCACAGCAGTACCTATTTATTTACTTGCACTGGTGTGCTTTAGAACTGCTAGATTGGCAGGAGCTGGGACAGAGCAGCGGGAGCTCACCCCGTTGCGGTCATTAGAATCACCAACCTTCCAGTCAGCAAGCCCAAGAGATTCAGTGGTTCAGACCATAGCGCCACCCGCATCCCTTTTATTTTAGTATTTATAAATGGCTCTACATTTTTGAAAAAAGTAGCCAGACGGTATACAAAAAAAGACTATATAAAGCCTACGTATTACAAATCATAAAACAATGTTAAAAACATGAGGCTAACAAGAATTAAAAGCTGCAGAAACAACATTTGTCATGACATAGCACAGCTTTTGCCAAACAGTTTTGTTGACTACAACTCCCATCAGCATGCTAACATAGCGTCACCCCTGGGAGCATTCTTGGGGGGAAAGATTGCTATCTCATTTAACAGGCAAGAGTTGAAATGTCCTAAACAAACCAATGAATAAATAAAACTTTCTGGAATATGTAAAATTCTTCCACCTTCAACCATTTGGCTTTCGACATGATCACTTTTGTTCTCATATTTGGACTCACAGAAAAAATGAAACATATATTTGAAATAAAACGAGCATTAATACTAGACACAACATATTTTATAGTCAAAAATGTTTCTGTTCAGCCACATGCAAGGTTATGCCTAGTGGTTCACATAAAAATGTCCTGTGTGTAAATTGTAGTCTTAATTTCTATTCATAGTACAAATAGCATATATTTTACCTAATATATAAAATACCAAACCTTGAAGACATGTTCGAAAGGACGTTAGGGAAAGATAAGCAGCTCCAAATCCCAGCAATTTTATGGAGACTCATAAAGAACAAATGAGTGCATATATTTTTGCATTGATTATTGTTGCTCACTGGCCTTATCTGTAAAAGTTTCATATCAGAAAAGCTGGAACACAGCTCAAAAGGAAAGCCACATTGCTTTATTGTCACAGAAAAGCAACAGAGAACATAATTTTCTGTGTTATCTCTGACTTATAATTAATTTTGCAAATAAATTGAAATTAAATTGTACATTATACTTGGATAAAGGTTTCCTGCAGACTCTTAAAAAAGGTTTTGCTTGTTTTCTGTTTTGCTTTTGAAGGGCATAGATGCACCACTGCATGTGAACAGATCCCAATTTGAAGATAAACATGAAATTCCATCTCAATATAACACAATGAGAAAAGGTACAAAAGCAGAAATGGCCGTGGAGACTTCACGACCTGCTTTCTTCCACTTTTGCCTTCTTCTGTGCACAAGCATTTCACAATTCACCAATTCATCAAATCCAAACAAATCCCTTTTGATTTCTCCACAGGTTCCCAAAGCATTTTTGTGATTTTAAGTTGTTTTAAGCCGTTTTTAATATTGTGTAATATTTTGTTTTCATATCAATGTGTTTTAAGTGTTGTAACCTGCTAACAACTACTACTTTGGAAAAGTTCATTTCACTGCCTGAGATGAAATGGGAAGGTGCCATTGCTGCTACTCCGCCACAGACTCATAGAGTTGGAATCTCAACTAAATCATTGGTGGCCATGCAACCTCTGCTTAAAACCAGAACCTCGCATACTGGGGTTGTATGGCGCTGGCTTCTGATGAGATCTCACTGGAAACTTCTTCTTCTTCTTGCTTTGCTGGCAGGCACTCATCGGGGCATTGCCTCATGCGATCCTGATACCCGAGGTGGCTGCCTCAGTCTGTCTCATGGGTGGGCCAGCCCTGATAGGCATCAACATTAGGCAAAGCTCTCAAAATACTCTCACACTCTCAAGATAAAACAAATTCCCTATTCTCCAAACTTCTGCTCACCAAAACATGCACCTCTCAAATGTTTGACACAGAGCATCATAATCCTAAAAAAACCCCACCTTAAATAGGCACCTGCAGTCATAAATCTTCCAGGTGGATGCATCTCCTAAGGTACAGTTTTGCACCCACAACAGAAACATGGTTTCTAAGAAATAGAATGTATAAAAGCGATCTGCAACAAAACAAAACTAAAATGTTGCAGCCTATTTCTATACCTAAGAGAACTGTCTTTGGTCATGATTCCAGGCATTCTGGTAGAGGCTAGTGGAGTTTAGGAGTTGAAGAGGTTGGGGGAAATACAGGGTTTCCCTTCCTTTCCTGTTCCGGAGGTCTTCTCCTAATGTGCTCTATCATACTAGAGGGTTTAGGTGCGGAGATGGTGCCCAGGCTGCAACTTTAGTGTTTTATTGCTGGTAGAGTATGTGTGAGGGAGTATGTTTCTGGATAAAATGGGGAAATAACACTCAGTGCTCCCACCAGAACTCTCCCTCTTTAGTGCTTGGAGGAGTTTATTTTTTATTTCCTGGGACACATCCCCATGTGCCTTGTTCTCCCTCCAGGATGCTTATAAACTGGAATTTTTTGGAAAATTCAGGACAGACCAATGAAAGTGCTTCTTTACACAGCACATAGTTAAACTACAGAATTGCCTCCCAGAGTAGGCAGTGGTGGCCACCAACATGGATACTTCTAAAAGAGTATTAGGCAGATTCCTGGAGGTATACCAATAGCTACTGGCCACAATGGCTATGCTCTGCCTTTATGGTAGGAAGAAGTATGCTTCTGAATGCCAGTTGCTGGAATTCATGCCCACATCTTGCTTGAGGGTGAGAATAGGATGCTGGACCAGATGGCTCACTGGCCTGATCCAGCAGGCTCTTCTTAATAGCTAAAGGACTGAAGAGAAGAAGAGTTCAGGAGCATTTCCTCCCTTCACTCAAATAATTTCTTTAATAAAGAAAAATTCAAATGCAAAGATATAGCACAGCCATAGCAAAAGTACAAGAAACAAACAAAGCAAAATGAAAGGAAGGGTTTATAAACAACTTACTGTGAAAGAAGAGGGATCAACATTGTTAAAGCAATTCTCAAGTTTGGTTGTTGTATGGAAAATGCATTTTTTGTTTTGTTCTAACTCTGAATAGATTCATGATTTTTTAAGGTCTTTACACATAATGTCAGGATGTAATGAGACTGTTATAATAAATTATAATAGAGGTATTAGTCTGGAAGTAATATGGATTTTAAAATGCTTGGATTGCTCAAAGCTGTCAGCGGTAATTCAGCATTTTGTTAGTTGCCAGCTAGAAGGAACTTCAGAATCTCTTGCATGGCATTGTTTGTGAAATAGCACCATTTTCTTACATTTTCTTTTAGTGTGATATGAAAGCACATCACACCTATTATTAAAACGGATAAATGAAAAGGTATATTTCCTTCTTTAACTATGGATTACAAATGAGGGCTTAGAAGATTCATGGAGCAGAATGGACAATTGTGTTCTAAGTTATTTTCTATAACTCTGTGTAACTTCCCTACTCTCAGTGCTTTTACTCATTGACTGCAGATACCTTAAATATATTTCCATGTGCATTATGGCTTGGATCTGGCCACATTAGGTTTTTTTTAATAGAACTTTGGATCCAAACTATATAGGAAATAATATTCTTTGATTATTTTTATCTGAGCACTTTTACAGGTGGCAGCAAACACACCTGTAATAAAACTGGTTGTTATTTTAAAATAAATCTCTTACCTATACCTCATTCTAGCTGGAAAGGGTATAGGCATTGTATTCAGCCTAGTGGAGAGCCAGGACTCACCAACATATAGCTGCCCTGAGCCCGGGTTCAGCTGGGGAGGGCGGGATATAAATAAAATTTATTATTATTAAATAAATAAATTTGTTATAGCACCTTTGGCCAGGCTGCTCACTCCTTTTATGGTACCCACCCACTTGTGCCTGGCTACAATGCAGACTTTGTCTTGTTGTTTACAGGCCAAGTAGGATTTTTTTGTTTTGCCACGTGAACTGACTGGCTGATATTCTGATATTTGTGGAGTTGCTGTTTCTGTTTCTGTTGGCTACTCTCTATGGCGTAGCGTGGGTTGTCAGCACCAGGGGCAAGGCAAGTAATTTGCGCCCCCTAACCCGTGGATTTTAGCACTCGAGCCAGGTAGGGGCAGAGAGCTGCGAGTGCGAGTGCCCCCCCAGATGTTGCGCCCGGTGCGGCCGGCCCCCCC